AGGAGTAATTTTAAACCTACAATGTACTTATTCACACAGGTAACTCTATGTGAGCACAGACACACTGGGGGTTGATTGGCAGGTCATTTTTCTTTCTTTTTTTTTTTTTTGTGAAGATTTATTTATTTATTTGAAAGTCAGATTACACAGAGAGAGGTAGAGACAGAGAGAGGTCTTCATCCGCTGTTCACTCCCCAGATGGCTGCAACTGCCGGAGCTGCGCCGATCCGATGGATCGCTATGGAAGTTCCCCCATCTGGGGAGTCCCACGTGGGTGCAGGGGCCCAAGGACTTGGGCCATCTTCTACTGCTTTCCCAGGCCAGAGCAGAGAGCTGGATCAGAAGAGCAGCAGCCAGGTCAGAAGTAGAGCAGCCGGGTCTCGAACCGGTGCCCATATGGAATGCCGGTGCTCCCGGCCAGGGCATTAACCCACTGCGCCACAGCGCCAGCCCCAAGGCAGGTCATTTCTGAAGGTTTCTGACAGAAGCATCAGGGAAAAGTGTGTGCTCCCCTGGCTCCCATTGGGGAGCGAGTGAAACCCAGCTGCAGGTCAGTCTCCATCCACACAGTGCCGCTCGTCTGAGGCTCTCCTTCTCACAGACGGGCCCCCTTCAGCAATGGCCAGCTTAGTTGACAAAATTGCAACCTCAACCAAAGGCCTCAGATGGCTTTCCGAAGCTGATGTAACTAGGTTTGGCATTTCCAAGCGACGAAAGACCACAGCTAGCCGGCATTCCTCATTAGAGGCCAGACTTGTAAGAGGGGGTCAGTCCCAGTAAGACTGCAAAGGGGCTTGGACGCCTGTCGTCAAACACCTTGGGAAAGCAACCACTCTGACTGTTTCTTGTTCTTTTTCTATGTTGCATGAGTGAGAAAGACCCAGTCACTCTGTGTGGATGGACGTGAGCCTCAGTCCAGCACCATCTGCCCCCCTTGTGGCCTTTATTCCTACTGAGTTTGCTGCACACCACTCACGTCAAAGAAAACCTGAGGATATAGGTCTTTTTTTTTTTGTCACAATATTTTACAGTATTTCCAAAGAACCTAGAGGGCATGCATGAAACAATACATGCAGCCCAGCTAAAATTAACTCCTGCTGGCTAGGATGGCTGTAAATGCCAAGCCCCGGGATTTTAAAGACTCGCAGTAGCTCATACATAGCTTGTGAATTTATAAGCATTATTGAGTTGGAAGATAATGACAGTCACATGTTGAGAATAGGATATGACATCTTAATGTATGTTCTTCCTCTCTCTGAGTCTCAAGAGTCCAATTAGTGAAACTTAAGAATGCAGCAACTTTAGCGCATGACTACAGAACCAGTGGGAATAATTAATATTAAAAACTTTAGTCTATTTACAGGCCTTACAAAACACAGAATAATTGGGAGGGGGGACATGCTTGACAAAGACACTTAACTGTATGATTTCACTTTGAATTTTGTTTTTAAAAATGTATGTTTTCCTACTTTAAAATGCCTGCCATGTTATATTGTCAAATGTTAATTTTATTTCTGTGTCTTGATATAATGAGATAAATGTCAAATCCAGTAGAAGTGTATATATTAGGCTGAAGAATCTGGTTTTATTAGTTAGGATGTTTTTGCTACAAGGAAAAGGAATTCCAAATCGGATGATCTTAAACAATGAGATGGCTCATGTAACGGGAGGCATGGTGGGACTTTAGGGTTAGCTTAGCCGGATGGGTCTGGCTTTGGGGACTTTGCATCAGCTCTACTCTGTTTTGGTCTTGGTTTAATTCTCGGGCTGCTTCCCTATACTGCTCCTGGAGCTACACCTTTGAGGGAACTTCAAAGAGCTCATGGAAAATGGAGTTAAAGATAGGTTAATTTTGGTGTAAATAATTTCAAAACCCATGCAGATGTGGGAGTCTTCAAAAAGTTCATGGAAAATGTGCATTATGAAAAAAACTCATGTATGGATTTTAAAATATTTTGCATCAAAATAGCCAACAGAGCTGATGTGGTGGTGCAGTGTAAGCCACTGCCTGTGTTGCTGGTAAACCAACGTGAGCACGGGTTCAAGTCTTGGCTACTCTGCTTACTATCCAGCTCCCAGCTAATGTGCCTGGGAAAGCAGCTGAAAATGACCCAAGGACCTGGACCCCTACCATCCATGTGGGAAACCTGTGTGAAATTCCAGGCTCCTGGCTTCAGCTTGGCCCAGGCACGACTGTCATGGCCATTTGGTGAGCAGATGAAAGGTCAGTGTCTCTCTCTCTCTCTTTCTCTGTCTTTCCTTCTCATTGTAACTCTGTCTTTCAAATAAAATATATCATTTTTGACAATGTATTTATTTATTCAAAAGACAGAGTTATAGAGAGGCAGGGAGAGAGAGGTAGGTCTTCCATCTGCTGGTTCACTCGCCAATTGGCCGCAACGGCTGGAGCTGCACTCATCCGAAGCCAGGAGCCAGGAGCTTCTTCCGGGTCTCCCACATGGGTGCAGGGGCCCAAGGACTTGGGCCATCTTCCACTGCTTTCCCAGGCCACAGCAGAGAGCTGGATCGGAAGTGGGCAGCTGGGCTTTACCTGCTATACCACGGCACTGGCCCCCAAATAAAATAAATCTTTTAAAAAACCTTATCCTTTCATTTCATTTTTCCCTCAACTTTTTGTTATATTCTCATATAATAATGAAGTACAAAAGGTATACATCAACTGGGAGTATATTCTGTTTTTTTAAAAAAAAGGAATTAAAAAAATGAGGGGGATGGGGGGAATGGAGGGATGAAGAATGAGTGACACAGGAAGGAAGAATGAACCACACAGCTGTTCTTAGAGAGATGGCAGCTGTGTGCCTTAGGGAGTCTGGGCTGGGCAGAGCACCCAGCTTGGCACTGCAGTGCAATGTTCCTTCTCCACCCAGGCTCTCACGTCTTCCTGCTCCTCCATCCTGCACGTGTGGGCCTGTGTTCTCAGGCTTGTTCCCTCTTGGTCTCAGGATGGCCGCCGAGCCTCTAGGACTCACATTGAGGTGTCTCCTCGTGTCAGGAGAAAGATGGGACTTCCTGGAGCCACAGCCTGCAGACTTCTGGCCGTGGGCTGTCAGCAGGCAAGGTCACCTGATTCCTGAGGCACACACGTCCAGCTGCCACCAGGGCCAGCGTCCCTGCTCCCTTATCCACAGAAGCTTCATTTGTTTTCCAGAGGAGCAATATGTTCGTTAAAAAGTGCATCTCTCCAGGCTAGACTTAAGATTTAGCAAAAATCAGGATATTCGTCATGGGACATACTATCTTGTTTTTGTTTTTTTAATATTAAGCAGTTGTTGTTGATCTGAAATTCACATTTAACTGAAGTCTCAGCTTTTTATTTGGCAACATCTCCCCCAGGCTTCCTGGAAGTTAGCATGGCTATGAAAGAGACAGTCTGCTAGCTGGTGCTTCTAGAAAAGTCTGTTAAAAAAAAAAGAGACTAAACTTGTAAGGCACATTCCTTTTGCACTTTGCCCTTCCACCTTCCTCCTGCCTGGAATTTGGACAGAATACTTAGTGCCGTCTTGCAATTGGGAGGTAGAATTCAGACTTTGAGGAATGCAGACAGACAAGGGATGAGAAGCCAAGCTCCCTGAGCAGCCCCGAATCGCCTACTCCCAGATTCCTTGTTATAGAAAAACAAACAAATGAAGCTCGCCTTTGACTAAGTTTCTGGTACATGGTACCAGGCTCAGTCCTAACACAGCTATGCCCTTGCTGGAAGAATGAGGTAGAGACTTGGAGACTGCCTGGTTGTTCCCCAAACCATTCTGTTTTCTTGCTCGCCACACAGCCAGCCGGGCTGCATTTCCCAGGTCTCAGTAGGTAAGTGGGGCTGATGACCGAGTTGTGACCATGAACTATGCGTGCCATGAGCATATGGAACTCCCAGGCCAGGCCATTGCTCCCACCCTTCTCACCTGCAGCAAGAACAAAGGGTCCTTGACAATGGTGGAGACCCTGGGTAACACTGGCCTGGGTCCCTGGAAACTTGTGGAATAGATCCCATCTGCCTCATTGGACTGTGGTGTGAGCAAGGCCTAGACTTTTATTGTGTGGAGCCTCTGATACATGGGGTTTTCTGGGGTCTGCTAAGTCAGCAAGAGAGACTGAGTCGGAAATCCTGAGGTTCACTTTCTTTCTTTCTTTTTATTTTGACAGGCAGAGTTAGAGAGAGAGAGAGAGACAGAGAGAGACAGAGAGAAAGGTCCTCCTTCCATTGGTTCACCCCCCAAATGACTACTACAGCCACCGTGCTGCGCCGATCTGAAGCCAGGAGCCAGGTGCTTCTCCTGGTCTCCCATGGGGTGCAGGGCCCAAGCACTTGGGCCATCCTCCACTGCCTTCCCGGGCCACAGCAGAAAGCTGGCCTGGAAGAGGAGCAACCAGGACAGAATCTGGCGCCCCAACCAGGACTAGAACCCGGGGTGCTGGCACCGCAGGCGGAGGATTACCATGAGGTTCACTTTCTTTCTTTCTTTCTTTCTTTCTTTCTTTCTTTCTTTCTTTCTTTCTTTCTTTCTTTCTTTTTTTTTTTTTTTTTTTTGACAGGCAGAGTGGACAGTGAGAGAGAGAGACAGAGAGAAAGGTCTTCCTTTGCTGTTGGTTCACCCTCCAATGGCCGCCACGGCCGGCGCGCTGTGGCCGGCACACCGTGCTGATCCGATGGCAGGAGCCAGGAGCCAGGTGCTTTTCCTGGTGTCCCATGGGGTGCAGGGCCCAAGCACCTGGGCCATCCTCCACTGCACTCCCTGGCCACGGCAGAGGGCTGGCCTGGAAGAGGGGCAACCGGGACAGAATCCGGTGCCCCGACCGGGACTAGAACCCAGTGTGCCGGCGCCGCTAGGCGGAGGATTAGCCTAGTGAGCCGCGGCGCCGGCCTCTTTTTTTTTTTTTTTTTTTAAAGATTTATTTATTTATTATTTGAAAGGCAGAGTTACAGAGAAACAGAGAGAGAGAGAGAGAGAGAGAGAGAGAGAGAGTCTTCCATTCACCGGTTCACTCTCCAAATGTCACAACCACCGGAGCTGGGCTGATCCAAAGCCAGGGAGCCAAGAGCTTCTTCTGGGTCTCCCACATGGGTGCAGGGGCCCAAGCACTTGGGCCATCTTCTGCTGCTTTCCCAGGCCATAGCAGGGAGCTGGATCAGAAGCAGAGCAGCCGGGATGCAAACCAGCACCACATAGGATGCTGGCACTGCAGGTGGTGGCTTACCCACTAACCCACAGCGCCAGCCCCGCCGGGGTTCACTTTCATTCTGCTGCTCCTTAATCAACAGAATGGAATGTGCTGATTGGCTTAAACAAACCACAGGGAATTTCTGGGGCTGGTAGGAGATGGGGGAAGGAGAGGCCAGCTCTCCTTGAGGTGCAAGGCTCACTCAGGGTTCTGGGGAGAAACAGATGGCACTCAGCTGAGAAATCTGAGGAGATGCGGTGAGGGGTAAGAATTCCACGCAGGAGCTCAGCACCCTGCAGCTAGGAAGAGCTGAGCCTTAGCGCCCCTAGGTCTGCAGGGTGTTGGGCGACTATTTCCAGAACCTGGAGGCAGATGGTCTGTGGGCAGAGAGCTCCTTCTTCAATCCCAGGGCCTCACCAGTCCACAGGGAGGAAACCAGGGAAATAACCTCCCCTAGTGTAAGGTCCCCAGGTGCCCCCTGCTTTCTTCCTGTGTCCTGACCAAAAATAAAGAGTGTTGGCTGCCCTTTGACCTACCACCTGCATGTTTTCCCCAACAGGCTTGAATCCAATCCAGGACCTTGAATGCCCCTCGGCACTGATGCAAATATCCAGGTTATTGTCCAAAATGCTGAAATACAGGTGTTGTCATATTGCACTGCACCCCATAAAATGAACAAGTATTACATATTAACAACTTGAAAAACAAACAAATATTTGAATGGAGTTAGTGACAGGGAGAAAAATAGAGGTTACCAGGACCTGGATGGAGAGGAGGAGGGTGAGTTATTTAACGGATACTAAGATTTTGCTGGAGATGATGAAGTCCTAAGTATGGGTAGTAGCAGTGGTTATACAACATTGCAAGTAGATTGAATGTCACTGTATCAGACACTTCGATTAAAATTGTAAACAATGCATAGTTATGAGTATTTATCACAGTAAATTAAGTGGAATAAGAAAAAATAATTGCATGTGAATGTATGTATGTGTGTATGTGGGGGGAGAAGAGAAAGCGAGGATGTAAAAATGAAGCCCACAGTAGCAGACCATCCACATCAGCTTCCCAGGAAGAAAGTAATCTTGTTTCTACCACAATTGAAGAGGACTGCTGATTAACAGCAGAAACAACAGCCAATACCGTAGGTACCTCAACTGACTCAATTTATATAATTCTGCCAGATAAATTAAAACTGAGCGAACTTTTGCTCAGTGGGTACTGAAACTTGCATCCAGGTCCATTGTGGACAAGAGCTCTCAATAGACATTTTATACAAGTGAGATCAAGATCCTGAAACATTTTTCCAAAAATTGTAACAGGAGATGGAACACAGCTTTCTCAGTATGATCCTGAAGGCAAAAGCACAATCAATGTAATTTCAGTCAAGGGTGGAACAGGTCCAGTGAAAGCAAAAGCAATTGGTCAAGAGCAAAGTCGTGTCCATAGGTTTTGGGGGTGCTCAAGGCATTTTGCCTTTTTTTTTTTTTAATATTTATTTACTTGAAATGGAGAGAGAGAGAGAGAGAGATAGAGAGGGAGGCAGGAGAGGAGAGGTCTTCCATCTGCTGGTTTACTCCCCAAATGGCTGCAACGGCCAGAGCTGCGCTGATCTGAAGCCAGGAGCCAGGTGCTTCTTCCAGGTCTCCCATGTGAGTGCAGGAACCCAAGAACTTGGGCCATCATCCACTGCTTTCCCAGGCCATCAGCAGGGAATTGGATTGGAAGAAGGGCAGCTGGGACTCGAACTGGTGCCCGTATGGGATGTCGGTGCCACAGGTGGATGGATGCTCAACCTACTATATCATGGCGCCAGCTCTGGCATTTTGCTTTTTCTTATTGAGAGGCCAAAGAACAATAATGTCTGCTTCTCATGAGGATTGTGAGAACTTGAACCAAAGCTTTGGCAGAAAATCACTTGGGAAAGCTGCTCCAGAAAGTCCCTCTCACCATGACAGTGCTCCTGCTCATTCCTCTAATCAAACAAGGGCTGTTTCGCTCAAGTTTCAGTGGGAAATCACCAGGTATCCGTCTTACAGTCCCAATTTAGCTCATTCTGGCAACACTGCTCCGTCTTCTTCAGTTAATAATGTAAGAGAGACACTGCATGTTCAAGATGAAATCCCCAGGACCCCTAGTTCTACAGGGTGGACTAAGTGGCCAATATCATTACTTTCAAAAGTGTCCAGAACTTGATGAAGCTTAGGTTGAGAAATATACTTTATATTTTGATCTTTTACTTCTGTTTTCCATGAACATTTTGAAGGTCCCCTGTACAAACTCTATACCCTGACCCGCTCATCATGGACTTACTGGGTAGAACATTTTGTCTCGCTGTCTGTCAGCCCACTCTACATTCTGTCATAAATGCTTTGGACTGGTCATCCTGATGTTTAGTCTTTTTTCTTTGGACTCCCAAGGGCTCCCATATCTGGACAGTTTGGGGGCACTGTCTGTGGTAACTTCCATGTAGCTTCTCCAGACACAGTTCTTACAAGGACTAAGCCCCAAGCCTTCCTTTCCCTTACCCTGGGATCTCCTGAAGAGCCTCTCCATCCAGGTCCAGCTGGGAGCTCAGAGTCACAAGAGACCCTGGTGAAGCACAAGCTGGTCAGGCTCCCAGGGCAAAGCAGGCTGGAGAAGAGGGATGAGCACAGGGGTACCACAGCAGATCCGGTTTCTGTTAGGAGGGTGGAAGAGGGTGAGGATGGTGGAGGGCAATCCACCATTTTCATCCCACTGCTTACATCTCAGCCCCTGGGGGCCAAAATATGCCCATAACTAATTCGTTGAGATAGAAATCTCTTGGCCATACAGCAAGTACATAGAAGGAACAAGTTCTGAATTTTCACAAACACAAGATAAATTCCACGTTCTGTAAGATGTCCAATAATTTATTTATCAAAGCATTAGTGTTGCCAGGACAACAGAATTTAATTTAGTCGTACTAGATTTACACATTGCTTCTTGTTCTAGCTTCTTAGGATTTGAAAATGTTCTTGCTAATAGCAAACAGGATATCAGCTGCTTTATTAATATATATATATTTATTATTTAAAGATTTAGTTATTAATTTGAAAGGCAGAGTTACAGAGAGGCAGAGGCAGAGAGCAAGAAGTCTCCCATCTACTGTTTCACTCCCCAAATGGCCACAATGGTCGGAGCTGCACCGAACTGAAGCCAGGAGCCAGGAGCTTCTTCTGGGTCTTCCAAGTGGGTGCAGGGGCCCAAGCACTTGGGCCATCCTCCACTACCTTTTCAGGCCATAGCAGAGAGCTGGACTGGAAGAGGAGCAGCTGGGAATCAAACCAACATCCATATGGGATGCCAGCACTGCAGGCAGCAGCTTTACCTGCTACATCATGGTGCTGGCCCCTATTAATAGATAATCTAATGAATTGTATTGGCCAGAACTTTTTGATCTCTTGTAATTGGTTTTATTCCAGGACATCATGATGCAATGGATGCTGAACACAATCTTAGGTTGGTACATTTAGTGCTGAATGAATTCCCAATATTGATTTACACTTGATGGTTAATTGTTCGTGCATAATCTCAGTGTTACTTCTGTGCTTGATATTAATCATAGTAGCCCCAGTCATGCGTTGTTAAATTGTATGCTAAATTGTCTTGGAGTACCTGTATATTTTCTCCTATGGAAGTTTTTCTTAGTTGAATGAATTTGAAATTTTTAATGACAATCACATTTCATACCCTATATCCTGTGAGTGAGGCAAAACAGGTATTATTATTATTATCATGATGTAAAAATTTGGCAAGTGACTACTGCTTATTAAAGAAACATAAACAATCTAAATATAAGGGGAAAATAAAAGTTATCTTTGTTCTACCACCCAAATATAATTTTCCTTATTATGTTGGTATATATTTTAGAATTTGTCCAAGATTTGTATATTTTTCTTCTTACAAGGGTGAAATTCCACTAAATATACTGTAGCTTGTTTTCCTACTTCATGATTTTTTATGTTAAAAATATACTTCTACAATGTCCCTTTTAATAGCAGCAAAATATTCCAAGATAGATATATAGTAATTTATTAAATACTCTATTGATTTTGGACCTTTGATTTGTTTCTAATTTTTGGTAATTTGTTTCTAATTTTTGCTCTTCTGTAAGGGTACATCAAAAAGCCTGTGGAGGGTCAGGTGTTTGGCATAGTGGTTAAGACTCCCTGTTAGGACACCAGTGCCTCACATTGAAGTACCCAGGCTCAGCTCCTGACTCTGCCTCCTGACTCCAGCTTCCTGCTGATGCAGACTCTGGGAGGCAGCAGTGGTGGCGCAGGTGGCTGGATTCCTGTGTCCCACATGGGAAACCTGAATGGAGTTCCCAGTTCCTAGCTCTGGTCTTGGTCTAGCCCAGGCTGTTGTGAGCATCTGGGGATGCACTAGTGGATGGAAACACTCTCTAGCATGCAAGCTTCTTCCCTCTCACTCTGCTTCTCAGGAAAATACTTTTTTTTTAAAGATTTATTTATTTACTCGAAAGTCAGAGGTTACACAGAGAAGGAGAGGCAGAGAGAGAGAGAGAGAGAGAGAGAGGTCTTCCATCTGCTGGTTCACTCCCCAATTGGCCACGATGGCTGGAGCAGCACTAATCCAAAGCCAGGAGTCAGGAGCTTCTTCCAGGTCTCCCACATGGGTGCAGGGGTCCATGGACTTGGGCCATCTTCTACTGCTTTCCCAGGCCACAGCAGAGAGCTGGATCGGAAGTGGAGCAGCTGGGTCTTGAACTAGCACCCACATGGGATGCTGGTCTCAGGCGGCGGCCTTTCTTGCCTGAGGGTAAGTACCGGCCCCACAAATACTGTTTTTAAAGTTCATGAATAAATGGAACTAAACGGTAATGTACCTTTTCTGTGAACATTTTGAGGCACCCTCCTATTTCCTCTACCTTATAATCATGGTAGATACATAGTTGATGGTCCATTTAGTCTGAAGATTGGGAACAAGGTCTTTGGGAACTAACTTCCTATGCTTTTAAAGATTCCTGAATAAGTGACCAGCATTTAGCCTAGTGGTTAAGTCACCCTTGTCCCACACCAGAGTGCCTGGGTTTGATCCTTGGCTCAGTACCAGCTCCTAATTCCAGCTTCCTGTTAACATAGATCATTGGAGGCAGTTGGGTTCATGCTACCCTACCCACGCGGGAGACCTGGAGTTCCCAGTCCCAGTTATTGTGGGTATAAGGGGAGTGAAACGAGCAAATGGGAGTGCTTTCTCTTTCTCTGCTTTTCAAATGAGTAACTAAATGTGGACATTCTTGAATCAACTTATGACGGCAAATACTTTCTAAGTGGGGCCTTGATTACTCTGCAGCCAGGATTGTTGCCTGCTGTTCCCTCACTACCTCTCAGCCAGCAGGAGCACTCTACTGTCTTTAGGCAGGGCCACATTGCCACAAACACCCACACCCACGTGAGAACTTCAGCAACTCCAAGCTAAGTCTTTTCCCTATCCACCATCACCTGCATAAATTAGCGTAAAAAGACTGTGACATTGCTTTTAGAAAAGAGTGCTCTAACTTACGGCCTGAAGTCTCATGAGTATTTATTTGTGCAGAAGAAATTTCTCACTTCGCGTCTCTCTCAGCCCCAGGATGACTAGCGGATAATTTTTCTGTTTTGTAGAATTTCCGCAAATGTTTTATTACACCCTCTGTAACTGAAACAAGAGACTAGGGTTGAACAATGAAAAAGAACTTAAGGAGAAAATAACATCAATATTTTCTTTGCGAACAATGACTCTTGCAACAGGTCTGGATAAGACCTGTTTCCATAATGGAAAAACAAAGTAACCCAGCAAAAAGTTGGCCCCTTGCAAAGAACGTTTCTTACTCTTTGTGGCTGCCCAGGGCCTGCAGCTCTTTCCTGCGGTGAACCACCATCCAGCGTCCCACGAGCGGATCTGAAAACTCAGCTGTGTTGTTTTTCCAGGCTCTCTTGCAGCCGGTGTGCTAGCCTGTCAGTCATCACTCCTCCACCCTGCTGCAAACCTTGACCCTGAGCAACCAGAGCGGGGACAGCAGCACATGCCTCTCCTCTGATGTCAGCAGCAGCCTTGTCTCGGGAATAAGTTCATTGGCCAAGAAGTGGACCCTGAGATAAGCCTTTGAAAAGAAGGTGTTTATTTGGGTCCTGAGCTCAGGAAGCAGTGGTCAGGAAGTTAGGGAACAGAAGGAAGCCAGCAGGGTGCTTAACCCACAGCTTACCCCTCTGAGCACAGGAGCTGCAGTCCTCTGGGGACCTCTGCCAGGTGCTTTCCGCCTGCTGAGAGCTGACCAACCCTGACTGCCGTCTTCTGCCTGTGTGGGTTGGATGTTGAAGCCCTAACCCCGGAGTGGCTGAATGGGGAGTAAGGAAGTAAGGAAGGCTACAAATGAGGTCATGGGGCGGGGCCCTCTCCACTTGATTAATGGCCTTAAAAGAAGGAATCCTAGAAAGAGAGGGCAGTTGGGCTGGTGAGCAAGACACCCTGGTCCCATATCAGAGTGCCTGGGTTACTTTCCTGGCTGCAGCTTCCTGTCAGTGTGGATCCTGGGAGACAGCAAGGATGCCTCCCACATGGGAGACCTGGATTGAGTTCCTGACTCTTGGCTTCTCATTTGAGGAGTGAATCAGTGGTGGGGGAAGAGGTGTCTCGATTTCTCAATCTCTCTCTCTCAAGTAAATAATTTTTTTTAAACTGAGAGACTTTCCCACATACCTATGAGAAGCCATGTGAGGACACAATGAGAAGGCAGCCACCTACAAGCCAGGAAGAGCTCTCACTGGAAGCCAAGTCAACCAGAACCTTGACCTTGGACATCCAGCCTCCAGGACTGTAAGATAACACATTGCTGAGGCTTAAGCCCCCTAGGCCCTACGGCATTATCTGATGCTCCCTGAGGGCCCCCATCTCTGCTTGACATCTTGTCTGCGTCTCTGGGAACTGGCAGAGCTTGCCAGAGGCAGCCCTCAGCATCACAGGGAAAGAGGCGTGGGTGCCCGTGGGCTCCAGGTGGGGCCCAGTGGAGTCCACATCTAGGGCTGTCAGGAGGCCCTGGGGCGTCTGTGCAGACTTCTGAGGCAGCAGAGTGGGTTTCCCACCAGGCCAGTTCTGCTGCGTGGTTTTCCCGCCTTTCCTGGCTGCCCAGCCTCGCTCCAGGGTCCTGCCGGCCACGCGCTGGGAGAGCCACCCTCTTGGAAGTTAGATTTTTGCTTCAGTCCATCACAGTCTGTTCCTGGTGCTTGTAACTGAGAACGCTCACTGCGGGTTCTGAGTTAAATTTAGAGCTGAAAACAGAACTTAATCAATGTTGTCTGTATCTCACAGCCCAGATTGCGAAAGGCAAGGTGTCTAATTCCTGCCTGATAACAGGACAAGGAGCAGATGACCCTGAGGGAGACTTGCTGCAGAAAGGGATGGCAATATCTGCCCCAAATATGTATCCACGCCTGCACATTGTGTTTCCCACGTGGCTCAGCAGTGCTATTTCTAGCTCATTTGTTTTAAGGAAAATAAATTGAATAAGGACTTAAGGTAAATAACAAGTTTTTCTAAGAGCATTGTATGAAGGGTCTTTAAAACATTCATAGAAAACGTATTGTGAAGAAACCATGCATCAATTTAAAAAATGATTTGTGTTTTTTGATTTCATTTTTCCACAGAATTTTAACACTTTATTTTGCTGATTCATTCCCCAAATGTCCCTGGTGGCTGAGACTGGGCCACACTGAAGCTAGGAGCTGTGGACTGCATCCAAGTCTCCCTTGTGGGTGGCAGGAAACTGATTAGCTGAGCCATCACTACTGACTCCCAAGGTCTGCATTAGCAGGAAGCTGGAATCAGGTGCTAGAGCTGGGCATTGAATCCAGGTACTTGGGTGTACTAAATGGCTTCTTAACTGCTAGGCTGAATAGCCCCTCCCCTTTTATGACAGACTCACTCTCAAGATAACCCACTACTCCATTAGTCCATGAGTGAATTAACATAGTCATGAAGGCAGAATTCTTGTGACCTAATTACTTCTTAAAGGTCTCACCACTTAGTATCTCACAATAGGGATTAAATTTCAACATGCAGTGTAAACATTTTTAAAATTTTCATTTTATTTGAAATGAGAGAGAAAGAGAGGAATAGAGAGAGATCTTCCATTTATTAGTTCGATCCCAACTGGCTGCAACAGTCAGGACTGGGCCAGGTCGAAGCCAGGAGCCTGGAACTCAAGCTGGGTCTCCCTGATGTGTGGCAGGGACCTGAGTACTGTATATTATTATATAACCCAGATAATGTATATGACATTACCAGTAACAATTGTGGTGTTGAAAGTACTTGGCCATTGGCTGGCGCCGCGGCTCACTAGGCTAATCCTCCGCCTTGCGGCGCCGGCACACCGGGTTCTAGTCCCGGTCGGGGCGCCAGATTCTGTCCCGGTTGCCCCTCTTCCAGGCCAGCTCTCTGCTGTGGCCAGGGAGTGCAGTGGAGGATGGCCCAAGTGCTTGGGCCCTGCACCCCATGGGAGACCAGGAGAAGCACCTGGCTCCTGCCATCAGATCAGTGCGGTGCGCCGGCTGTGGCGGCCATTGGAGGGTGAACCAATGGCAAAGGAAGACCTTTCTCTCTGTCTCTCTCTCTCTCACTGTCCACTCTGCCTGTCCAAAAAAAAAAAAAAAAAAAAAAAAAGTACTTGGCCATCAATTGCCGCCTCCTGGAGTGCACATTACCAGGAAGCTGGAGTCAAGAGTGGTGCTGGGCCGTGAACCCAGGCTCTCTGATATGGGATATGGGCATCCCAAGTGATGACTTAACCACTGTCCCAAATGCCTGTCCCTCAATGTAAGTTTTGGTGGAAACATTTAAACCAAAGCGTCCCATACTTATTCCTCACCTCCCTGCCCCAAACTCCTGTCTCTCCCGCGAATAGATTATAATCTTTCCATGCCAATAATTCTCCAAATCTTAGCTTGTTCCAGCAGTGACTCCAAAGTCTCATCTGACACCTTCCTTCCAGCTATTGAGTCTGTGAAGTAAAAACAAGTTATCTACTTCCAGGAGACAGTGGCAGGACAGGCCCAGGCAAACATTCCCATTCTGATAGGGAGAAGAAGGCAGGAAGGAAGGAGTAACAGGCCTCAAGATTCCAGAATGTAGCATATATACCTGATACTTTTATAAACACAATGACCGCTTATTTTAAATATTACCTATTATATCTAATATTATTTTCTTTCTTTCTTTTTTTTTTTTTTTGACAGCCAGAGTGGACAGTGAGAGAGAGAGAGACAGAGAGAAAGGTCTTCCTTTGCTGTTGGTTCACCCTCCAATGGCCGCCGCGGCCAGCGCACTGCGGCCGGCGCACCGCGCTGATCCGATGGCAGGAGCCAGGAGCCAGGTGCTTCTCCTGGTCTCCCATGGGGTGCAGGGCCCAAGTACTTGGGCCATCCTCCACTGCACTCCCTGGCCACAGCAGAGAGCTGGCCTGGAAGAGGGGCAACCGGGACAGAATCCGGCGCCCCAACCGGGACTAGAACCCGGTGTGCCGGCGCCGCAAGGCGGAGGATTAGTCTAGTGAGCCGCGGCGCCGGCCCATACCTAATATTATTTAAATACTATCTATATACCCATATATACAATGTATATGTGCCTTTCACATATCTTCACATTTAATCTTAGCCCCCCAAAAAGAAAAAAAGTGCCCCATGAGGTGTGTAGGTAGGGCAGGCCATATTCTCTCAATGTGACCTACACACAGATTTTCTCTTACTGCAAACATTGTTGACTACCTGTTGTCATGAAATGAAAATGCTGGAATAGATCACAACAGGAAACTGGAATCCAAGGCAAGGCATAGGAACACTGCAGCTAGAGGAAGAAAAAATTTGAAATGCATAAAGCCACAGATCCTCTGTAGAATATTCTTTCAAATCTATATGAAAAAAATGAGCTTATTTTCTCAAATTTGACAAAAGCCCTAAAAATGTATGTGACATTACCAGTAACAATTCGTGATGGTAAAAGAAACTTTTCTAAACTATCAGTAATTAAAACCAAATTTTGATCAGCCATGCAAAAGGGAAGATTGAATTGTCTTGGTATACTCTATGAAAATGTTACAAAATTGAAGCTATCAAAAAATATGAAACCAAAAGTTGTAGGGAAAAGTATTGTATAAATGTGTCATACAATTAATAAAGATAGTGTTATAATTTCCAGATTTTATAAATTTATAATTTAAAAATTTATTTATTTGAAGGATAGAGTGACAGAGAGAGAGAGAGAGGGTGCTTCCATCCACTGGTTCACTCTGTAAATGCCTGCAACAGCCAGGGCTGGGCCAGCCCAAAGCCAGGAGCCTGGAACTCCATCTGGGTTTCCCATGTGGGTGGCAGTGGCCCAAGTACTTGGGCTATCTTCATTGCTTTCCCAGACTGGATTGGAAGCAGAGCAGCCAGGACTTGAACTGGCATTCCCATATGGGATGTGGGTGCTTTAAGCAGTGGCTTAACCCACTGTGCTGGCCCCAAATTTCCAGATTTTTGTGATACTTGTGGTATTTGTCATTTTTTAAAAGTTGTAATTCATGATAACTTTATCTTATTAAAAATAAATGTTCATACCTACTTTTATGCTTAGATTTTTTATATTGTTTTCCCTGAAGAAAGAAGAGCTACAACAGCATGTTAGTTTAGGACCACAGACAGCTGAATCTGCCCCTGCATCTCTCTGTGAACGCAAACGCACTCCTTATGCCTCCTGATGAAACCAAAGCAGCCAGGGGAGATTCTTTTGAGGTCGGGCCTTAGGAATTCTGCCTCCAACAAATGTTCTTGCAAACATCTCTGAGGTTGTGGCCATTTCATATGGTGACATTTGATGCATCTGGTCAGTGCATGTAGCCAGTTGTTTCAGGTTGTGTTTGAGCAGCCTGTGGACTACGAGTGCTCTTTTTGGCCCTTGTGGGGCAGTGAGGGATGCAGGATGGGGCTGAAGCAGACATGGAAATGTGACAAAGCTGCCGTTGAGACCTCAGCTGATCACGGGGAATTCAAGAGCAGAGGTCGCCTATCGAGGGTTGTTGTGACTGAGACAAGGGGACAGCCTCTGATCCCCTGAATTACCCATCCTTACATGTGGGCTGGCACAGTGCTGTGCAGAGACCACGGTGCAGGGTCACCTCTCTCCAGCTCTATGCTTAGTTACATCACATTGTACCTTGAAATGCACTTTGGCAGGAGGCTTAATAGCTTGGGAAGCCACAAATCACGCTTCCTCCTCTCGGCTGCAGCCAGTTGTCAAAATTTACTGCATGCCATTGTTGTATGGGAGCATG